TGTTCATGTTCATGTTCATGTTCATGTTCATGTTCATGTTCATGTTCATGTTCATGTTCATGTTCATGTTCATGTTCATGTTCATGCCCATGCCCATGCCCATATTCCTTGTTCTTGTTTGCTGCCACGTCAGCACCTTTGTTTTTGTTTTAATAAATCACTTTTTGCCACCTCACTCAGTTCTGCATTTTGGGGTTCTAATCAACCAAGCTCAATCGTAACAACATGTAGTGTTTGCTAACCTGTACTCAWGATTTTGTCCCTCCTCCACCTCGGAAAAGTAAAGGTGGAAATGTCTCTAAGTCTCATGTGCTGCTGAAAACAGCAGCTTCACACACGCGCATACACACCAACACCCACACACCTTTGCGAGTGGAAAACACATTTTTACAGTCCACTACTTATTTGGACAGTTTTCTCAGTCATTCTCCATTTAATTTACWTTTTTTTCCTGCATCTAAAAATCCTTTCTGATCCCACAGAGAGGACAATCTGAGGAGAATCTCACGCGCTGGACACATTTACATCTATTTTACAGATTTAAATGGAGGCGTATGTCTTTAATAAATGACTGTAAACACGCAGGAACTTCTGAGTTTGGTAGAACTTAGAAAAATATTTATTAAATAGTTGACGTGAAGAAACGACTCGCAACGTCGCAAGTTTCTGCCGCGATGTGATTTATATTTTAGAATCATGAAGTCTTTCATTCAGCTGCATGGCTCGACTTAGAACTACAGTAAAATACCTGATTGTAATTTGTTTGATGTGATACAAACAAACAAGCAAGAAAAAAAACACGCTGTCCTCAATTCTTCTTGTGGTGATGTCAACCTGCAGAACAGCTGATATTGATCCATAAATTACACACAACTTTACGTAGCAAAAAATCTTTTGTCTGCATCTTGTGGAGCTCAGGAATCATCACAGGTAAGCTGTTATAATTAATCTGCTCAGTTGACAAAGTTTTTTTCAGTGAGAATTAAAAAGTTTCTTAGACAATTCACACTTTTTATTCTCCTCAGCCGTGTGYGCTCCGCAGGCCATGCGCTCTGCGTGTGTTTCCAACTCGTGACAGAAATATAAAAAGTTTACAGTTTGGACTGAAGTTCTTTGATCATTTTTAGGCTGATTTATTTTCTTATCTGAGGTTAAATGATCTTCAGTCCTGGCGTTCAGTTTCATGATCGTTCAAGTTTAAACAATAAAAACTCAAACTAAAAAAAAAATCTAACACCGTGTTCAGACACTCCTTACATCCAGAAAATAGATCAGAGTCATATTTCTGTGGATTCAGGTCAGATTTGTGACTTTGTGAGTTAAAACTGTCGATTGAAAAACTTTGCGTGGCTGCCGCACATTCTCATGGTAGGTGAAAAGTGTGCATAAATTTACGCACACTTTCATGCAACGTTGGTTTTGATACATCCCAACGTGGGCGTAGAACCTGGTGCATGCAACTTTTTTATGCGTACACACCGTTTAAACATGAGGGCCCAGCACAGGTGAGGCTGTGCAAATAGAGAAGCTGCAGTTAGCAGCAACTTGAAGCCAGAGTCTCTTAAACGTGTCCAAAAGGTCCAGGAGTTCATATTATTTTTTATTTAACTTGAACCGTTCAGGTTWAGCTAACCTCTAACAGCTGACGAGTCGGGACATGTCCGCTCGCTGAGCTTCACTTTAACTCCGGCAGAAGCGGTGGGTCGAGTGGGAGGAGTTTAAACACGATCTTGATGGGTTTTTCCTATCAGGGAAACAGTCGGATCACACACCGGCTGACCTGTGAGGAGCAGAGCCAGCTGCTCCAAGCTGTGTTTTTTCCTCYCGGTTTTATTTAGCATATATACAGTCGGTCAGATATTTTTGGCTTGTTGGGGGAAATACGTTGCTCATTTTTGCACATTTTGTTGCGTGCACTTGGAGACCCTTCTGTATTTTATTCCCCCAGCTTCTCGACGTACTTTGTTCAGAGGTTTCTTCTTTCCAACTCCAGCCGGCAGCTTCTAATGACAAGATTTATAACTTTGGTYGAAAGGGGGAGGGGCTTGTCGGGCCGGCCGAGGAGTGCTGAGAGATTTCATTGGTTTAGCTCATTGTCAATAATGAAAATCAACCATTAGGCTGTCGTGATCGACAAAAATTGTTCATAATATATATTTTTTGGTTCATGACAGACCTGGGCTGGCCCATGAATGAACGTCGGCCCACCGGGCATTGCCTAGTACGCCAGATGGCCAGTCCAGCTCTGCTGTGGATGTAAGGTTGTCGGTGCCTGTCGTGGCGGCAACCCTCGAACCTTGGTGGCCACTGGTGGTGAAGGATGCTGTCTGGTTGAAGGAGGCCTATGAAGTTTTATTTATTTTTTGGCCTGTGGGACTCCAAAAGCAGCTGATGGGTATCAGCAGTCCAAACGGATTGCAGCTCTGGTGGTCGCTGAGGCAAAATCTTGACCATGGGAGTAGTTCGGAGAGGCCGTGGAAAAAGACTTCTGTATGGCTTGGAGGTGATTCTGGTCCACCATCCAGCGTCTCAGGGGGTGCAAAGCAGTTCACCACCAACACTGTTTATGGTGGGGATGGTGCGCTGCTTACCTCAAATTGGGACATTGACTTAAATGTTTCCAGATCCTGCTGGGGTCTTTTTTAATTTATTTATTTTCGTTTTTGTGAACTATGTCAAACAACTTCCACCGGATTTTACCTTTAGCTTGATACCCTTACAAAAAATGAAAAACAAAATGTCGAAAGACATTTAAGGAATTTCAGAGGCGACTGTTAAGGGGTTTTAAGGTTCTGGATGTTATGTGGTTGTGTTGGTTGATGTAACTCTACAATATTGCGTGGACATCCGGGGCAGTTCCCCTGGATTTGCAGACCGGGGTAGTGGTCCTCCTATTTAAAAAGGGGGACTGCAGAGTGTGTTCCAACTTCCAACTGTAGGGGATCACACTTTTGAACCTACCTGGATCTATTCAGTTGTCCTGGGGAGGAGGGTCCGTTGGATAGTCAAATCTCGGATTCAGGAAGAGCAGTGTGGTTTTTGTCCTGGTCGTGGAACACTGGACCAGCTCTACACCCTCAGCAGGGTCCTGGAGGGTGCATGGGAGTTCACGCAACCAGTCTACATGTGTTTTGTGGACTTGGAGAATGTATTTGACCGTGTCCCTCATGGAGTCCTGTTGGGGGTACACTGGGAGTATGGGGTACCAAGCCCTTTGGTATGGGCTCTTAGGTCCCTGTATAACTGGTGCCAGAGTTTGGTCCGCATTGCCGGTAGTAAGTCGGACTCGTTTCCAGTGAGAGTTGGACTCCGCCAAGGTTGCCCTTTGTCACAGATTCTGTTCATAACTTTTATCCTCTTTCTGACCTGGGAACAACTTGGGGCCCCCTAAGACGAGCTGGAAAGTGTCTCCAGGTAGAGGGATGGGTTTCTCTCTTGGACCTCTTGCTTTAGACACCAATGAAGGCTGTTGCGGTTTTGGGAGAAAATATATTGCGTGTTTGTGTTCAAAATTCCAGAGAGACAAGACAGACACCCTGCAGCTCACATAAGGAAATAAGGAACCCCTTTGAATATTTTAAAACACTTTGGTACCTCCAATTTGTCGTTAGCAGTCGTAGCCCAGTGAGATACTGATTAAAAAAAAGACAAAAAATGATGCAAATAGAAAAACACAGTTACAGAAGTCATCTTTTATTGCCACGTAAGAAAGTTGTATATATAACAATGGAAATATACTGTCAGATGCCAAATCAACAACGATCAAACAAAAAATATCCCCTGATCCCTCCCCCTTCCAAAAAAAAATAACAATAATAATAAAAAAATTAA